ATTACTGCTGAAAAAAAAATACTATGAATGTCTATGAAAACTTTTACTTAAAGCATTGCCAACATTGGCATTAAATTCATCCTTGAGAACATATGCTGCTTTAAAAGCATTAAAATCATTAAGTACAAGTGGAAAATTCAAATCATTCTCATTAGCAACTGAAGATTGGTGAGCAGCAGAACCTTAGTAACAAAAAGTGTTAATGACTTTATAAAATAAATAAAAATTTGAATTAAACCATTATTAAAAATAATTATTTAAAAAATTTTGAAATAAAGATTAAGATATAATTTACCTGATGCCTCAGATTCATCTAAGTCATGAGAGAATTCATCCATTTCTGAATCAATTTTGCAATCCAATCTAAAAATTTCATTAACTTTTTATTTTATTTCTCATTTTTTCATACCAAAATAATTAAAATAGTTTTTTAATGATATACTTTCAAAAGCCAGCATGTTTCCATATATTAACAATTTTTTTATCGCACATATGTCCATATTTTTATAATGAAATTCTTTGTCATGGCAAACCATATTCCTACTTTGTTTTGCATAGAATTTTTTTTTGAGTAGAATTGAATCTTTTAATTTTTTTCATAATAACATACTGATATAATTGTAGAACTGTTCCATTTGTTGATGTTGAGGAAAAACAGAAATTGGACTTCTGAGAAGGTAAAGCAGTTGTTGTGGGTTTAAATTAATATTATAGTTTGATTTTGTGATAAGAAATTGAAATCAGTATTTATTTTTTAATAATTTTTAAAAAACTAAACTACGCAAAAGATTTCATAGTTGAGAGTAACAATTCAATTAGTAGTTTTTTTTATCAGAAAAAAATTATTGGTTTAAGTTTGTTTATAGTTTCTAAATTTGAAAATATAATCAAGATTGCCACTTTCAAAGTAGATATATTCAAAACTAAATGGATTGAATCACCATCTCTTGCTCCTGCACTTGCGCAGCCTGGACCAGCCGGTGGTTTTCAGGGTTTTCCCCATTGCATTTGGGCACCAAGAGTTATTAAATGTATAGTTTGTAAAACTTTTTTATGTAACCGTGTGGCTGTTGATTGGAATGCGCTACCACTAGATAACATTACCTTCGATAGAAATGTACCAGATATTGTCAACATTAACACTTTCAAAAATTAGCTTGACAGATTTTTTAGCTCACTTCCAAAAAAAACTGTGGTTGGTACTTCTGTTTCTCGCTTAGGAATGTATGTTAACTCAATGTGCCGATAATTTTATTTATTTTTTATTTTTGTTTGGTAATCCTCTATACTGGATCTACTATAGCAGGGATTAGTTGCTTTCCCAGCTTCACAGATTTTTCCGTTATAGATTAAATTAAAAATTAAAATAAATAAAAAAAAAAACTTTATATTTTAAATAAGATAAAGTTGATACATTAAAAAATCAATAATTTAAAAATAACTAATAGTCAATTCGTACCCAAATTATTGATTTTTTAAAAATACATCAATTTATGTTGTTAATAAAATTTTCTATTATTCAGAACAGTGATCACTGAAAGTTTGTTACTATACTACTAGTTGATCAGTTACCACCATATCTTAATACAAATTAACAATTTTTCTTTTAAACAGATTACAGATTATTAAACTATGAAAAACAGCTATTAGAATCACTAAAAAAGTAAGCTTTCATTTAGATGCAGCTAAAATATTTAAGTTAAGAAAAGTTAAGAACATTTAATAAAATCTATGTTTTTAATTTCTACAGTAAGCACTTGGAGTGGTCTTATATATATATATATATATATATATATATATATATATATATATATATATATATATATATATATATATATATATATATATATATATATATATATATATATATATATATATATATATATATATATATATATATATATATATATATAATTTTATTTTTAATAATTTACATAATTTTAAGTTTACGTCAGATATTTGCATAGACTTTCGTTCACACAGATAAAATACAAATCATGATGGATTGTGGTTTCAAAAAAATGCCTAATAGCTTTGTAAAACTAAAGATATTTTTATTTACACATTAACAAATTAACAAAACATAACAGTTTTTAATAGTTTTCAATTGTATTTATATATTGAACAAACATGTTGACTGGTTAATCTAAGAAAAGTAATCAAATTAAAATGGAAAAAAATACACCACATGTATTAACTGAAAATCAATTTATTTATACATAATAACAAAACAAAATATATAAAGAAAAGTATATATTTAAAAAAAAAATTTAACTAAATTTGCATTATCAATTACTAATTGGTAGATTAACCAACTACAAAAATACTAATTATAGATAAAGCGTATTTTTTTTCCATCACTCTCTTTCTTCATACTTTACTTTCTATAGGATCAACACAGTATATTAAAAAAAATAGAGGGGCAGAGATTTTGTCCTAAATTAAAGCCCACACCTTATGTGCCTTATGAGTGTGGGCCCTCTATTTAATCAATAATAAGCTGAAAAAGCATTGTAAGATATGTCTAAAATGAAAAAAAAAAATAATAATAATAGATTAAGACATGATAAAAGAAGTAAAAAAACATAAAAGATTATCACTACAAACTAATTTACCTGTTGCTGATGCTTTTTCTAGAGCATTGTTTAAAATAGTCAAAATCTATAAGAAAAGATATTTATTGCAAGAACAATTAGCTATTAAGCAAAGTAACAAAAACGTAATAGCTATCAGTGCAATCAAATTTTGTAATTTGATCAGAAAATAAAATTATTGTTACCTTGATTGCGACAACTAATTTGCTTTTAAACTATTAGCTAATGATCAACTTTTAAATAATTAAAGTTTACAAAAATAAAACCATTTTTTAACAGTAGACAAAGTAAACATATGATAGTTGGTAGAGCACTTGAGTAGAACTAAAGAAATGAAATAACAACTAAATTTACTATGTGATGCATATTATACCTACTGAGTTTTTGCCTAGCCTGATTTCTTTTATTTTGATTACAATTTATCTCAGCTCGTCTAGGCTCATCTCTTTCATTTTAACAACAATTTATCTCAGCTTACCTAACCTGTTTTCTTTTATTTTTAGTAAGTCTAATAGTTTCACTTCTTAAATTATCAGACATAATAAGTAGTGTGGATCAATTTTAATAATTTTTGAAATTTGATTTGCCTGAGCTGCGAATCGATGTCTTTTGGTGAAAAAAGAACCTTATTTTTTTTTTTTAGTTTAAATGAGTTTTAGAGGTTTCTCTTTGGATTCTAAATTTATGACGGATCCTAATATTGTTGAAATTTTTTTTCTTCTAAACTATATCAACTTGGTACTCAAAAGAAGCAGAATAATACGAATATAATAAAAAAAATTTTTATTAAAAAACCCCCATATCATCAAAACGGGGGTTTTAAGGTATATTTATGCAAATATTCTTATCACTAAAATTTTTTTTTAATAAAATTATTATTAATAAAACAAGCATTTTTTTCTGCTTCTTTTGAGTCCAAGGTTGATATAGAAAAAAAAAAAATTCAAAAATATTAGGATCCGTCAAGGATTTAGAATCCAAAGAGGAAACTCAAGATCTCATCAAAATCAAAAAATATTTTTTTACTTTCATCTTATAATTAATAGACATCAATTCGTGTCTCAGGAATGTTGAATTTTAAACTTTTTTTTTTTTGCTATGAAAATCGATCCACCCTATTAATAAGGCATCAAAGGAGTGTGTAAAAATGATGCTTAAAATAATAAAAGTTGAACTTTTTTAGATTGAACTTTAAGTTTTTGTTCTTAAACTCATCTAAAATACAGTGTAAGCAAATAATAGTATAATAATCTAATTGTATTCTACTATTAGTCATATTTAAATTAGATGTTTTAAATTAATTGAGCAATGTGTAAAGATAAGATATTTCTATCAAGAACTTAAACTAAAGTTATAAATAAATTGGTATAATCTTTTTAACTGAGTAATGTTATATATTTAAGGTATTTCTTATTAATATTTGACTAAGAATCATAAGTATTTAATAATAGTAAAAAAAAAAGTATTTAAAATTTTTTTTTTACAGATAAAAACTTATAAATAAAGCAAATTGATAAAGTTATAAGGACTGTCTGCTCAGTAAGTACTGCTAGCATTGAACAGTGAAATTTAACCCTACATCATAAAATCCCTTTCATTACTTTGAAATGTGTTTAATGCAAGATTTGCAATAAATAAGTAAATACAAAACTAATAAAAGAAAACCTCTATAAACAATTATTTGCTTCCAGTGAAGAACTTAGAAACTTCTTGAACTATTTTAATTTTTTTTTATATACCTAATATTCTAAAGAAAAAAAGGTCACTAATACAATGCATAAAAATTAAAATGTATGTATGTGTGTATGTATGTATGTATGTATGTATGTATGTATGTATGTATGTATGTATGTATGTATGTATGTATGTATGTATGTATGTATGTATGTATGTATGTATGTATGTATGTATGTATGTATGTATTTATCATCAAAAGCATTAATTGTTAACAAGAAATAACAGAGTATATATCTTATGAACAATTTTTTTTTTTAATTAACAAAATGCAAATTTTTAAGGAAAAAGAAACAGAGTATATATCTTTTCAACAAATTTTACTTAAAAAGTAACAGTATATTAATATTTAATGAAGTATATATCTTTTTAATAAAATTTACTTAAAATTATAAATATTAAAACAATTATTGGTATTAACAAAATATATATCTTTTCAACATTTCTTTTAAACACATTCTTTCAACAATATTTTTTAACACATTTTATGACTACACTATCTGCAAACAGATTTAATTTATGTGTTTTTCTTCATGACAGTACACCACTTTATTAGCACAAACAACATTCTTGCTTTCAACAAAGCCAAGTCACGTTAAAGCAAAGAACATCACTTGGCTAGCAAAGTCAACATTTTTGCTGTAAACTAAGCTAAGTTGGCAACAACTTGAAACCATGCAAACAACATAATAATTACTTACCAACTAAACACATAACATTATAACACATCACCAACACAGAAACACTTCATATACAAAAGATATATTCACACTTACAAAATATATATCCATAAAACCTCAACACATATAAACACATAATAAATAACACACAAATATAAATATATAAATTAAGAAAAATATATCATTTAGAAACTTTACAAATACAACCTTATTTTTGTAATATTTGTTTAATGACATACCTCGTAATAAATGTTTAGCAACTTCAAAAAAACAAACGATCAAATGACCTGGTTTTTTATTTTATAAGAGCAAACAGATTTTTTTAAACTTCTTTAAAATAAGGTATTAATTGATCTTTTTTTTAAATGTGACATGTAGTTGACCATGTGAGATGCAAGGGTTTTAGAGATAAACACTAACTTTATCAAGAGTATGAGCTCTTGACTTTTGGAAAAAGCAACATCTTCTAGAGTCATCATCGTCTTCTATTTTAAAAATTAAAAATTACAGATTAACATACTTTAAATACAATTGACAAAGGACTTGGATTATGTTATTATTATAATGCATGAATTAAATAAATTACCTGACTTTAAAAGTTACTATACTAATTTAAAAGTAATATAAGGTTTATCCTTTACTACAGAAGTCACCAAATTAAAAAATTGTTAAACTTATCTTAAGTTGATGAAGCCTTCGATCTTATTACTGATTAAGCAGATATTAACAGATTATTAAGATTTTAGAGTCACTCATCGCGTGGTTAAAAATATATAAATAGAAATATTAAAAGGCGAAGTATGCTTATAAAACTCTGTGTAAACGCGCATGAATGGGTAACAGCAGTATTAAGTTAAGCAATAATATATAGTGTTGATGTATGACTGTCTAAGCTATGAGATCATCTCATACCTTATATTTAAAATGCTATGTAATTATTTCATTCCTTTCAAATTCATAACTTAGTCATAAGTCAAAAGGTTTTTCATGTGTTCTTGCAATCTAAAGGCTATAACAGCGTCACTTTTTATGCACAACATGGCACAGTTAATACTCATTCTTTAACTGTTGATGGAATCAACATGTCTGATAGTTACCGCAGTGTTTGGAAAACTTATTACCAGCCAGCCTTAAAGCTGTATCCTCAGTAGGATATAATAGGAAGAGTTGCATTGTCACCGTCTAGGAGACATGAAAGCTTTGTTTCTAGCATTGAAAAAACTTCTTTTTGTTAAAGTTTTTAGAATTGTTTTAAAACATCACTTTACTTATTGTTTATCAAAAAAGGTTTTCTTCGAAAAGTTTTATAATTGTTACAATTATTGCAATTTATTTTTATTAAATTATCCGCATAGTAAATTTTAGTATATTTACTAAATTACTACTAAATTTTATATTGTTTGCTGGCAGCTAAGTTGTTTATTGGATTTATTTGAAATCACTTAATATCTTAAAATTTTTTGGAAAAAACAACTGTTGAAAAAAAAGTTGAATCTCATAAAGAATATGTTGATTGTAAATAAAAGAATATGTTGAAAAAAAATAAAAGAAACTGTTGAAAAAAAAGTTGAATCTCATAAAGAATATGTTGATTGTAAATAAAATGGTAAAATAATGTGAAAGTATTTTAAAAAAAAAAATGAACTTCTTGAATGCAGGCTATTTCTTTTTGGAAAATGTATATGCTAAAAAACACAAAAAATAGCATCTGTTTTATTAATCAAATTTGTTTTGTTATATCAATGTTTTTATAATGTATCCTTTTTTTTTTTTGGATAAAAAAAATTAAAAAAGAATTTTATATATGTATTATTTATATTTATATATGTATATTTAGTCAATTAAATTTTTGTTGGTGAATTTTTTTAAAATTTTTTCATTATTTAATTTATTAGTTATGTCAAGAAAATAAACCATGTGACATGGTTGATGGCATTGGTTTAATATCCTTAGAAAGCAACGAAGCTTCAAAGGTCAAAATAAGTAAAGCACAGAAAAGAAGGGTGAGTAAAAAGAAAAGTTAAGAAAATGTTTTTGAATTTTTTTATTATTGAATATTAAAAATAAATTTTAGTATTAAATATTAAATTTATATATTAAATATTGAATTTTAAAATCAAATATTAAATTTTAATATTGAGTATTAAATTTTTTAGTATTAATTAATAAAGTTTAGTAATAATTAATTAAAGTTATAATTTATTATTGAATTATAAGTTTAATTATTCTTATTAACTTTTAAAATATTTCCTAAATAAAAAGTATTATTTCATTTAAAAAAAGATTGAAAGACTTTAATGTCTTTTTACCAGCAATAAATGAGAACTTTTTCAAGGTCTAAAATATAAAAATTATAGCCTAAGTAAAACTTGTGATTTTTAATAACAATTTTAGTACTTTTTTATTTTGTATTTTGCCATTGCAAAATGAATATAAATTTGTCTATATTTTTAAAATTACCATTAGAAAATTTCTTCTGTCAATTTTTTTTTTTTTTTTAACCAGTAAAGTCTTTATATGTCTTTATTTTTAAGTCAAATTATTGACTTTAATATCAACCTGGGAGTTGTCTTTTTCTGTCTATTTTTATATTTAATATTGTGTTCTTCTCGACACTTCACTTATAGGCCACCACTCTGTTAGAAATCCCTTTCTGCAGTTCTTTCAATATCTTGTGTTTTTCTATTTTAGGTTTGTTTATAATTCTTTGTTTAACAGGCAACATATTTTTTTTTTATTCTTTTTTATATGTAAACATCTTCCCCTCCAACAAGGCTGCAAGTAACAGCAATTAGAGTTATTGGAAAAGAAAAGATAAAGTTTATTAAGCAAGATAACAATTAACAGACAACTATCAGAAAGTGTTGGCTTCTTATCAAGACAAGAATAAATGGTAATATTGGCAGTGAACCTTAGACGTAAGAATTTTTGAGAGACCATTAATGTAAATTAAAAAAAATTTATATAGGGTTAACGATAGAACCTTGAGGAACCCGTGTTGTGACAGAATATGAGGAAGAGTGCTTTCCATCGAGGACAACTTTTATACTATGATCGGTAGGGAAGGATTCAATAATCCTGTTATTTACTTACCCCGTAAGAAGAAAGCTTATGGAGAAGACCAGCATGCCAAATTTTATCAAAGGCTTTAGAAATATTAAGAGAAATAGCCTTAACCTTTCCACATCTATCTAATGCATAATAAAACCTATCAATTATTACCATTAACAAATCAGCAGTAGTAGAACAGCAGTAGAATGAGAAGATCGAAATCCATATTGATGATCAGAAAGAAAGTTATTAGATTCAAAATGAGAGATTAAGTATTTGTTAATTAAAGACTTAAAAACCTTGCTTATGATAGGAAGAAGACTAATAGAGCGGTAGTCAGATCGCTCAGAATTTTTGAAAATAGGGATAACGTTTTTTATCATGCTGGAAAATAAGACTCTGATAAGCACTTTACTCAGTTAAAAAAACGAAGTTTAATAACATCCAAGTTATTTAATAACATCCAAGTTATTTAAATTGGTTTTCTTTTTAAATATGAAAACAATTTGATAATTTTAAATTTATTTAATGATAATTCAATGCAATGACTTGCAATGTATAAATACCAAGTACAGTTAGATTAGATTGCATTTATTAGAACAAATAATGCATGTTCTAAATGACACGCAGGTCTATATTGTTGGACACTAATTGTGTGCCTTTAAACAAATTATGTAAGCGTACAACATCAAATAAATAATTTATGTAAAAATAAACAATATATGCAGTCAACGCCGACATAACTTTCCGAAATTGAGTAAGGTAATTCTTAAAAATGCTGATATTATTGGCTATTCTTAAAAATGCTGATATTATTGGCATTAATAACATTAAAAAGCAACTATTTCCTAATGTTACTAATTCGGTAAGAAAAACTATATTTACAAATATCTAGTCAACATCGTTGTTTGCACATTTTATATATTTGTGTGCTCATGTGTTGTTTTTGTTGTCAATAAAAAAGAACATAGATTTATCAATTAAGACTAAGTTATGCAGAATTTTAAAGCAAGTCGATAGAAAAAATTTTATTATTAAATTAGTATATTAAATATTTTCTATTAAAATAATAATAAGAATAAAAAAAATAATAATAAACAGTAAAAGTTTTATCTTTAAGCCCCATAGTTTACACCGCATTTTTATATTGCAACACAATATAAAAATCGTGGTCTGTTAAAGCAACCTTCCATCAGTTGAATCTTACCTCTCACAAAATTCACCAGACTTACTTGAAACTAATTTAAACTATTCCTTATTCTGATCTCAATGTTGATGGCAATTTAATTTGCAATTGTTGATGGCAATTTGATTTGTAAAGACTCCAATAGTCACATGCTTGGCTAGGGGTATACATACGCATTTGTTCACCTATTTTTCGTGAAATCAGGCTCAAATTATTTGACCATTCCTTTATGTGCTTCTGCTTAGCGCCTCTTAACTTTATCACCTTTCTCTTTGTTCTTTATCGATCTCCTTCTTCCCAAGATTGCACTCTTTTAAATATAATTTCTGATCAAATTGACCATGCCCTCCCTTTTTAGCTCTCTGCCAATATTGTTGTTATTGGTGACTTGAATGCTCATCACACTGAATGGCTTGGTTCTAACACCATTAAACCTGCTTGCACTAAAGCTTCTATGGCTTGTGGTCCAGAGTCTTAAAAAAAGTCTTACAAAATAGTCTTACAAAATTGTTCTCCAGAACTCTCTTCAATTTACTCTAAACTATTTTTCTGCCTGCTGGAAAATGGCATCTGTTTTTTTAATTTTCAAAAATTGTGGTGAACATTCTGACTCCTCTAATTATTGTCCGATTAGTCTTCTTTCTGTTATTAGCAAGGTCTTTGAGTCTTTGAAAAACAAGTTTTTCACATCCCATCTTGAGTCAAATAATTTACTCTTAGAAAATCAATACGGTTTTTGATCCTCTCGGTCTACGGCTGATTAGCTAACTGCTGTGACTGAAAGATTTTATTGTGCATTAGATGGCAGGCAGGCTATGGCTATTGCTCTTGACATATATAAGGCTTTCAACAATATTTGGCATGCTGGTCTTCTACATAAGCTTGTTTCACATGGTGTATCTGGAAAAGTTATTGAGGCTATTAAATCGTTTCTTTCTAACCACTTCATTAAAGTCATCCTTGAAGGCCAACACTCTTCTTTATTTTTAGTAACTTCTGGGGTACCTCAAGGTTCTGTCCTTGACAGAACCTTGAGGTACCCCAGAAGTAACTATCTACATTCATGACCTTCCTAACAACCTTACATCTAAAGTAGCTCTTTTTGCTGATGACTCAACTTTATTCTCCTGTCTTGACAAAAATTCTTCCCTTTTCGATTACTTAGAACAGGCAGCCAATCTTGAATCTGATCTCTAACAGATTAGGGCTCACAGTGGCTTGTAAATTTTAACTCCAATTAGTAACGTTTTAATTAGGACCATTAGTAACGTTTTTTATAATGCTAAACTTTTTATAAAGTACGTTTTTATAAAATTGGTTTAAGTTCCTTAATAAGTTTTAAATATTATTTGAATACCCACTCTATTTTTCTAGATGCTTTTTTACTTCAATTAAAATATAGTTTTATTAATAATCACACTCTTATAAGTAACAAACTGTCTGGTTGTCCTGCCGGGCTACTGACAGATATATCTTAAAATTTCAGTTGCCCTTGGAGAAAACGAGTTGTCCTGTGCCATCGGACAACCATGAGGGTACATCACTGCATTGTAAACATAGTTAGATCTGCTCTATCTGCAAAGCTTAATTATCTTTCCCATTGTTGTAAAGTTGCATCTCTTTCTCTTTTCTACAAATACTATCATGATTGCTGTTCAAAGGAGCTATCATCTCTAGTTCCATCAACTAAAATTCATTCTCCCTTGACTTGTCATTCAGTAAAGTCTCATCATTTTTTACTGTATCTGACCCTGCTTGCTCTAAAAACTTTTATTCATCTAGTTTTTGTCCCCGAACTTTAACCCTTTGATGAGATTGATGCAAAGTTCTTAGCAAACAGTTCAGTTCTGTTTTTTAGTGAGGTAACAAAATCTGAACCATGCAAGGTTCAGATTTTGCTACCTCATCTCAGAAAGAATAGCATGAAGATTCTCCAAAAGGCTCTGAAGTCTAATTTATTTGATGAAATACAAAATTTTGTGACTTGAAAATAGCGGGTTTGGCGTTAGATAAAACTTTTTTACAATGCTTTCTAACAATAGTAAACAGATGTTGGTTTTCTGGAGAATTTTTTGGCCATGTAATGATTTGGATTGCATGGAAAGCGAGTTTAAAAGTTGACTAAAATTTTTAGTGATTAGGAAAGACAAAATTAGTGGGCCTTAACACCTGTAGAGTCACTGACACTAGAACCAAGCCATTCAGTGTGATGAGCAATAAAATCACCATCAACAATGATATAGGCTAAAGGATAAAAAAAAAGGGGCTTGGTCAGTTTGATCAGAAATAACATCAAAAAGTGTGTGGTCTTGAGATAAAGGATAACGATGTAGGAGAAAGATTATAGAGTTAAGTGGTGCTAAACGAAAGCACATAAAAGAATAGTCTGTTGATTCAAATATTGTATACTGCCAAATGGGTGAATTCTTACAAATGTAAATGCCCGAGCCAAGCATGTGACTATTGGAAATTTTATGAATTAAAATTAAACATCAACACTAAGATCACAGGATAAGATAGCTGAACTCAAATTAGTCTCGCAAAGAGCATGTAGATCTGGTATATTTTGCAAGAGCAAATTTTTTGCTAAATTTATATTTAAAGTTATTATTTATGTTTCTTGTGAAACTTATATTTGAAGTTATGTTTTGTGGTTTTCCATGCTAAATTTATATTTGAAGTTATGTTTTACTTTTTTTTTTTACAAAACTTATATTTGAAGTTACACTGACATGAGGTTTTTTGAATTTTTTTTTCAAAACTTTCTAATAAAAGATTTAAAAGATGAGAGTTCTTTTAATTGCCAAAAGTAAAACATAGTTGTAATACAATAAACTTTCATGTTTGATTGTATATGTTTATATTTTATATGCTTATTTTTCAGGATAAGAAAGAAGCTAGTAATAGAGAACTCAATATAAGAATTGCTAATGGCGAAAAAGAAGCTGTGAATCACTCAAGGAATATAGAAGCCTCGCAATTTGAAAAACTTCTATTTGAAAAGAATTTAAAAATAATAGAAGTAATGTTTTTCTTTGCATATATTTATATAAGTTGTTTTCATAAGTTAAGGAGTTTAATGCTACATAATTGTTATTATCGATTTATAATTATCTTTTATTTCCTGAAGTGTTTTAAAAAGTTTGAAATTTTAAATTCTTAATACTTAAATCTTCATTATTGCAGAAAATACAAATTTCTATGCCAAAATATCTACCTCAGCTTATGAGAAGCAGGTCTTGTTATAAGATTTTGTGTAACAAAAATGAATAATGCTAATGTAACTTTAACACAGCTTTGATATTTACATGGATAAAATTAAAGTATGGCGATGTAATTAAATTTAATTTTAGGTTAAAAATCATTTAAATTAATATAACAAAAATGATGAAATCAAAGTTCTGTATCTTAAAAATTTGATGATATTATAATTTGATGGTATTATAATTTATTTCTTAAAACTTATTATTAATCATTTGTTTCTTTATCACAACTTATTATTTTTTTACATATTAATTTTTTATTTAAAGATTATAAACAATTCAATTCAAATAAATGATTCTTAAACAAAATTTATGTTCATAAGTAAGTCAAAAAATTTTTACAGGTTATTGAGTTGATAAGAAACAAAAAAAAATTAAATTTCTGAAAAGAATTCTCTTAAACAAAAGTTTTAAAAGATAAAAGTAAGCTTTCAAATATCTGCTTTTGAGTTTTTCAATTAAATCTACTTGTTTTCAGTTATTTATTATATGTATTAAGTATTTTAAACCAAAAATTTTTTTTTTTTTTTTGCTTAAAAAAAAAAAAAATGGACTTAGGATAGTTTTGGTTTGCAGCAACAAAGTCTCTTAAATAATTTTTTAAGGACATAAGGGGTCGTCCATAAATTACGTCACGCAATTTTTGACCGTTTTCGAACTCCCCCCCCTCTTGTCACAAAATCGTAACACTTAAGAAGCAAGTTTTGAATGAGTCTTCACAAAACCACCACCCCTCCTCCCCCTTATAGCGTGGCGTAATTTATGGACAGCCCCTAAGGTATTTAATTTTTACTCATAGTTGCAAAAGTTAATTTTGGTTTCATACTTTGTGATGTGGCTTTTGTGCACCTAAGGAGTATTTTAAATCAAAAAAGTCAATTTTTCCAAAAATGGACTTAATATAGTTTTGCTTTGCAGCAAGGAAATGTTGTCTAATCATTAGTGATCAACCAAAATTCTGTTTCAGTATCGGTTTCAGTCAAAATTTCAATTTGAACCGATACCGAAATTTCAGTTTCAGTACTATTTAAAATTCGGTAAAAACCATAATTTAGGTTGAAAAATATACCAAAAACCAATACTTAACTAATTTAGAAAAACAGTTATTTTTTAGAATTTTCACAAAATACCTCAAAAAAATCTTGTTTCGCAGAGAAAATCTGCCAGTTGTTAAATTTTGCTATTAACTTATATCGTCAACTTTTGTATTCAATCTCAATTTGAGATACACATGTAATTAATGTTAACATAATATGAGCATAAAAAAACAACTAATGTAAAATTGCATTTTTAAATAAATTTTTCTATAAAAATAAATTTTAACTAGTCAAAGTTTCAATATGGGTTTCGGTAAAATATTTGCTGAAATTTTGTGGGGGGGAAAGACGTGTTCTACCCACCCTCTCTACCTACCCCACCCCACCCCTAAAGAAAGTGATTATCAATTTATAGTCGGTTTTTTTACAAATTTAGTAAGCTAGTCAGATATTTGGCATAGTTCAGTGGGTTATTTCGTTTTGAGAATCTTTTTTATTTTTTACTCAGAAGCCAGTTGGTACTTTTTGAGTATCCCCCCTCCTTTCATTTTATTTGTAAAATCCCCTCTGCACCCTACCCTAAAAATTTAAATTTACTAATCTTTTTTACATGTTTTTAAATATGTTTTTAAGATTGATTCTCCGTTACTAATCACTTTATGGTGTTTTATATTTTAATTTTTAACACTAAATTGTTTTTTTTTTCTTTAGATAAATCCTGATGGTAATTGGTTAGTCACACACTTATATTCAAAGTTTTACTATCAAAAACTACGATTTTTTTTTGTGAAGAAATTGAAAATAATTAATTTTTTAAACAAAAAATTAAAAAAAACTATTTTTATATTTTAATATCATACTTTTAATTTTAGTTTGTACAACTCAATTGCTTTTTTGTTTAATGGTTCTACAACAGAGGTATGTTTAATATTGTTATAATTTTAAAACAGTTAAGTAAGTTATTATTTAGTTTCAACTGTCTTATCTACTAACAAATTTGAAATCTGTTTAATTATTTTTTTTTTTTGTTTATAAATAAATTGTTTTATTTTTTTATTTGATAAAATTGAATAAAGTGAAATTCTGACGCTTTACTAAAGAATATTTAACAGGCAAGATCTATAATACAATAGAAATCTAATTACTTTAATTACTGTTTTGATGCTTAACTAAAGAATCATTAAAACATAAATTTTTTTTTTTGCTAAAATTTTTAAAATAACATCTTGCAATATTTCAAGTTTCAATATTGTCACAATTCAATTGTTATACCATTAAATTTAATCAACTGAAAATTTAAAGCAACTTTTAAAAAAGTATAGTTTAAAGGTCCCATGTGAGATGTGCAAATTGGTGTGTCAAACAGAGAAAAGTTATTTTTTTTAAAAAAAGAAACTTAAAGAAAAAGTTGGACAAAATCATCAGGAGTAAAACAGTTGCTTGTTTTGTTTGCTTTGACAAAAATCTTTTATGTCTAGATAGTATCAGTTGAAACCCAAATCTGACAATGAATGCACTGAAGACATATTTGTCCCTGAGTATGATCCTATTGAGCTGCTATCTTCTGCCCTGTCTTTGAATGGATCAAACAGATTTACTATTACTTTCAATGATCCCCTACCTATAATTATATTTCTCTATATACATACACACATACATATTTGTATGTGTAAAATATGTAAAAATAATATTTTCAAAATATGTTTTCAACAAGTTGATCATTGAAATATTAGTATAAATACCTGAATCCATCCCAATCTTTACAAACATGTATTGTGGAACCTGCCCTCGATATTTTATTACAAAATCCAGAAACATTGTAATATCTTCAATATATACTCAATCTCTCTTTACTGAAGCATAGTCGTTATCTTTTTCCTTTTCTTGAAAGTCTGATAATTCATCAACATAATAGTTCAAAAGTAGTTTACTTTTTTCATCCAGGGTTTTCTCCATGTTTGACTCAAACTTTACTCCACTTCTCCTCAAAGTTTTTAACATTTCATTAGACTTAAACTGACAAAGCCCTAAGGTATTTAGCAAAGCTTCTACCTCATTGTAAGGAATCTTTCTTTGATCACTTTCTGTGACTTTCTGTCCTGTGAATGAAGTGTAATATGAATACTTTTACCTCCTTAATATAAGACAACTGTTTATGTTAAGAATAATAGTTTATCATAAGATAAACTGTTATTTTAAAAATATATATCATAACTATTTTTATTTAACAATATTTTACCTGTTGTGAGAATGGTTTGAGCTCCTTAGCTCTTGATCAGGATAAATTTCTTTAAGAAAGGAAGAAACTACTTGTTCCTGTACCTTTTTGGAAATTTTAGAAATACTCTCAGAAACATTTGTGCTAGCCTTAAAAGATAAAGAAGGGAAGAAACTACTTGTTCCTGTACCTTTTTGGAAATTTTAGAAATACTCTCAGAAACATTTGTGCTAGCCTTAAATAGTGAACATCAGTGGGGTTTACCTTTAGCGATTTCACAGTAGCGTATTTGGCAAAGTTTTAGTGTTAAGTTTTTCCCTTTTCATACTTTTATTTAATAATCTATTTCTTCCTTGACTGCATATACTGCATAATATTGAGTAAGAGGTTTCTAAAGGTCTCTAAAGGTTTCCAAACTAGATAAATCAGCATTTTTCCATTTTAGAGTAACTGTGTCTGCAATAATTTTACCAACCTTGCAGAGATATAAGTTTTTCTTACAACCTAGGCATAATATTCTATAGGATAGGCAAATACTTTCAGTGAAAACTCAGGCTTACAGAAAATTTGACCCAGACCTTGCAGAATGCATTTGTTGTTCTTTTCGAGGCAGCAACAGCAAATGATCTTTTGAAAATGTTCATGATCTCTTTTAAAATAATATTCTCTACTCTCCTTTGAGAGAAGAGGAGCCATAGATTTTAGAAGGAGATATAGAAGGAGATTTGATATATTAGGTATCTATAACATAGATTTGATATATTAGGTATCTATAACAATTTATGAGTAACTATATTATAATATAGGTATAGGTATCTATAATAAAATTAAAATAAAAAAGCATAGTCAAAAATAAATATTTTTATTACAAAATATTATTTTGACCAACTTTTAGTATTCTAATGATATGTATAAATATTAGATTAAAGACCTTGGAAAGTTGGTATATGAAAACTATTTTTATGAACTTATACTTTCTTTAGTTTTTTTAAATACGAAAAAAATGACTTTTTAGCAGATTTTCAATGTCAATTTTCTAAAAATGTGATACCTCCCAGATTTTTTTAAATATAAAAATGAAGTGTCCAGATGCCCCACTTACTATAATAGTTAACACTTTTAGGGTACTCCGATAGTAAACTTAAATTTTAAATTTCTAAGCTGTGCTGACTTGAAGTCGTTTTTTTATGCAAATATATTGGAGACCATTTTCAGCTATTTTTTGTTTACTAATATATAAGTTGATTATTTACATGTTATTTATTTTCATTGAGAAAAATGTTAGTGTTAATTAGGTGTAATTTAAATTTATCTGAGGCGTCTCATATGTGGGGCCTTACTTACTAACTTTAAAAAGTTACAAAATAAAAGTAATTACAAGAGTTTTTTGGTACTGTTTAGTTAACACATAATTTGCAATGATAGAGAAAAATAACTTTTTAATAAACTTTTTAATTTTATTTAAAAAAAATGATAGTCTTCATTTTTTTAAACTTTAAAATTTTTGTATTTGAATATTTTGATTCAACTTTTTTTGTATTTTGTATGAGTACAAAAATACACACGCAAAAATACTTTAAATGTTTTTTTGTGTGTAGTTCTTGAAAAAATAAAGTTTTTACTTACAGGATGGTATGTTGCAATTAAGAGAACGCACATCATCGTATATGCTAGAACATATTGAAGACTTCCTTCCTTTTTCTACAAATAATGTTACTGGAGATATAATGGAAGAAG